TATGCAAGTTTGTGTGAATATAGTGGGGAGCACAGACTCTTGCATAACGTATAACACATAAGGCATAAGAAATTCAACCAATCATAGTTCTTTATTTCATGGAAAAGAAGGAAACGAAGGATTTTGATTGGTTTATTTTCTTATGCATTACGTGTTGTGTTATGCAAGAATCTGTGCTCCCTGCTTATATCCTAAAGGCAACAACACAGACTTTGACATAACTCATAGTGCATAAGAGAGAATCAATCAATCAAAGTTCTTCTTTTCTGTGAAATAGAAAGAAAGAAAGGATTCTAATTGATTAATTCTCTTATATACTGTGCATGCATTATACAAAAATATGTGCTGCGGCCTTAACCATTAAATTAAAAGGTTTGTTCGCGTCACATGATCCAACATGTTCCAATGTCCTCCTACCATAGCTCTTACTCACTCCAACTCACTCCCTTGATAGAATGAGTAGGAGCTATGGTAGGAGCATGTTGGAGCTTGCAACGCGAAGAAACCTAAAATAATATAAGTCCGAATCTAAAATAGGTGTTTTAAGCCTTAAACCGTAAGAGTTTGACCAATTACAGTCGAATTCGAAGAGAATAATCGACTATGATTCATCGATTTCTTATGATTTAAGATTTAAGGTTTAGAACTCTATTGTAGATCCGGGGTAAGGCTCGTTGGTTGCAGAGGCCCAGTCTCACTAACTCCGATTAAATTAATCGGCCGATTAAATATTGCCAACTGTAAGACTTGAAAATATCTTTTTTCTGGCGGGGCGCCGAGCACCCACGTGCTTGACTAGCATGGCTTTTTTGCATTTGAGAAATTTGCCATTAATATGGACTTATGCTGTTATTATCAAATCATTCTTCACAATTGTCAGAAAATTAGGTTATGTTTTCAGTCTTGTAATTGGCAATACTGAAATTTAATCGACCGATTAGCTTAATCAGAGTTGGTGAGACCGGGCCAGAGACATGATAAGATATAATTTTTCTTTCTTCCAAAAAGAGAAATCATTAACATCGATAAATAATATATCTGAAATGTGAGCTTAAATTCTTCCTCTATTAATGCTAGTATTAGCGCTTTCACATAATTTTCGATTTTCCGTACATACCTTTTAAGATTTGTATTCCTACAGCTTTCTATGACTGCTAATATTTCATCGTCTTCATCACTGCTTTCAGAAGAATCTATTAATTTTTGCATAAGTGCAACTGCTAATAATGCAAACGATGCTGTTACCATTATGGCTGCGGCTAACAATATTTCTCTGCGATCTCGTTCCATTCACCTGTTTGGTTAGGTTTGATATCAGACTACACATGAATCAACATGAGTACACATGGCCAACATGAGCTGACACAAATTCTAAGATTGTTTTCTGCATTCTCTGAACTAATGCAATAAATTAAAATAAAACAAACGTATATTTATTTCACTTAAAATTATTGTACCGTATTTAATCCAAAAAGCAGGAATAAAAAACAAATCTTTTGATTGAAGCCGATTGAAGCTAAATTGAAGCTACATTGAACCGTGTTCCGATATCATCCGATATACACTGCCAACTGCCAGTACCGAAAATCTACAGTACACGTAGCATGAACTATAGATTTTCAGAACATGGCTTGATTAGAACCCTAGATTTATAGCGAATTCGATTGGAAGAACTGGTGCGCACTGGTGCATATTAAAGCCGTTGTACACTAATTTAATTTAAGTATAAAAATGAAATGTAAATATTTCGAATTATGAAATACATATTTTACCTAATAGTACAATAATATGTATTAAGTATTTCACGATTTAATCGATCTCTATGTTTATTTATAAACATATCTTTACGTTATTTCATGTACGACGGCTTTAATGTGTACCAGTGCGCACTGAGTGCGTCCAATCGAATTCGCTATTAGAGTCCCTAGAACTAACTTAGGCTGCTTTCCTTTTAAGAGACAGTGGCTACGGTTACACCGTACGACTGATAGCGACCTGACCTATATCGTGACCCAAAGTAGGTCTAGTCACCAACCGTTTATACCGAAAGGGACTTAAAAAATGGTTGGGTCATATTTAGTCCACGCTGGTCCGAATTAGAGCCATCTATCGTATTTTGTACAAATTATTTCCATATGGACCCAAGAATCGCTAAACGCATGCGCATTAAGTCATGAAAAAGGCGCTTATAGCAAGTAGACGTAAGTATGGCTACCGGTTTAACCTAAGGGCCATGGCACACAAAAAACTTAAGGCAGTAAGACGTAACCAGTAAAGAAATCAACATGTTGGATTCGCTACTGCTTATGTTATGGCCTTATGGACTCTACTGTGATTGGTCAATTCGCTTACTGCTTACATTTTACTGCTTAAGTTTTTTTGTGTGCCATGGCCCTAACTCTCAAATTCAACAAAACAGCTGTTCGAGCAAAATGGCTACGAAGCTTCAGGTCGGGTCAGTCGCGAATTTACACCGAGAAAGCAGACGACCTATTTTAGGTGAGGGCGCCAAAAAATACGGCCTGACCTACAACAGGTCGGGTCAGGTATAGTAATATTTACAGCGAGCGGCCTAAATAATGTGACCTGAATTAGGTCGAATTTAGGGTATAGGCCGTGGAAAAAACGTACGGTGTAAACCAGGCCAGTCGACACAAGCACCGACGAGATACTATTAAAGACCGTCAACCCTAGGCAAATTTTCGGCGATATAAAAAGGGCCCCAAGGGCCCGGAGGTAATCGAAGAACGCTGACATTATCGACAATTGATATAAATTTGCCATTATTAACATAAATATTTGACTAATACATTATTAAATTCATGATATTTTATTACATAAATGCTCTATAAATAAATATGCATATTTGTAAAGCTATAATATCCTATATATTGCCGAAAAATTACAATTTTTTTCTCTGCAGTTATTATCTCTGTTGATAATCGAACTTTGACGATAACACTGAAATCACAATTTTAAAGAAAAAATCGAGTATTATTGAGTTTTAAATGCACGTACACCGATAAACACGTCTACTAAACTAATAAATCATAAAATTAGTACAATATTATCAGTTTTTTACTCTTAATCACTTCGATATTAACAAGGACGCGAACTCCCATAAGGATGTCGGTTTTTAATAATATCTCGTCGGTGACACAAGTATCGTTTTATCTTTGTCACTCTTTGAATGTCCAAGGATAGAACGACGCTTGTGTCGATTTGTCATCAAATGGAAAGCAGTGCTAGACTACGTTTACATGCACTGGTAAAACCGTTTTAGTTAAAATGGTGTTAGATGTCCTGTAAACGTCTCTTAATACAGATGTTATTAAAACCGTTTTAGTAAATCCAAACCTCTTCTAAAACAGGTTTGGCATTACTAAACCGTTTTACGAAAGTCGTGTAAACGGTCTTCAATCGGTTTAGGGCCGTCACCAAGCTTCGATTAACTTAAGCCGGCGGCACACGATGCTTGTTTTCTTGCTGGATTGCTAGCTAGTATAAATTCTTGCCACCGTATTGGCTACGATGCTGACACTATCAGTACCGCGGCCAATACGATGGTAAGATTCTAATCTAGCTAGGAATCCAGCAGAAAAAGCATCGTGTGCGGCAGGCTTTAGTCGGCCTAGTAACTTGCAGGCTTCCAACTTAAGCTGATGTCGGAGAATTAATT